ATTTTCATTCATAATGAAAGGCATAATAAAAAATTGAATAATGTTATTTGCAGTCGCTCACTGCAACAGTCGCCCTACGTGACATACACATGACAGGTGGTTATTTGATACATTGATGAATAAAAAAACTACCACATTAATGCATCAAATAATCACCTACCATGTGTATGCCACGTAGAGCGACTACTGCAGTGAGCGACTGCAAATAGCATTACTCTGAAAAATTCGCGCCTACTTATATTTGCAGAAAGCACCACATGGAGGAGATAATAATCAAATAATTCCTCACCATATCTTGCCAATGATGATATATTCCAGTTATGTCACGCTTTTTCCATTCCTTCAAATCAAAGATATTCATACCAAATGCCCAGCCACAAGCATTGGGATCAAAATTCTCAGATATCTTTGGATTAGAAAAGTTGAGATATTTATCAAACCTATGAAAGCTCTCCTTGCAGGTTTCAACAGCACCATTTACCATCCCTTGCAGATTAACAGACCATAAAGGTGTCAGATCCTTCTGAATGACAATGTCATCGTCCAGAAACAATATCTTATTAAGCTTTGGGTAAACTTCTGGAAGGTAAAATCTAAGATGATTCAGCATGGACAAGTATTTTGGATTCCTATACTTGAGATTATCAGAGCCAGCAGTGAGAGATGATGTCTGATGTGCCTTGAAATAATACTCTATCATTCGTGCAGATTCAAGCTGGCGTAGAACAGGACAGTATGAAGAATTGAGCCATGTAAAATCGTCTACATTCTGGACTTGAATCGCTGCACCTGCAGGAGGATTCACAAGAAACCACATTTTCATGGCTGCTAAGTTCAGCTTATCTGTTACTATATGGAAAACATGTTTTTCAGGCTCTTTTACGTGCAGCACAGTAGAGTTTACAACAACAGATGCTGCAAGCACATTATCAGAGAAGATGGCATAATGGTATAGAGATGGATCTTCAAGTTTCTCTCTGTTTGCAAAATCCTTTTCTTCATAACCCCGTAGGTAATATTCTGTTGTGAGAAGTAAAGGAAGGCAATGCAATGGTTTGGGGACAGTTTTTGCAGCTAGCTGTATCAAGAATGCACTCTTCTTCTTCAGTTCATTTACATTCGTTTCAGATGACTGAAGCATGGCCCGCAACTTCCTTGCTATAGTCATACAATGGTATAATTGGTCCTTGGCAGTAGAAAGGATGTGACCCATGGCTTTTGCTTGATCTAGAGCACTGATGCAAAGGAAAAAAAAAAAAAAAGGTCCTCTGTAAGAGCCTAAAGCCAATCAATGCCTAAACATATTTACCCAAGAGAGTTCAAGTAGCAAGACCTAGGGTGAAGTTCAGAGTCAGATGTTGCCTCTCCAATAGCAAGTTGACTTTTTCTAGAATGTTCCATTAGAGAATCATATAGCATAATATTATTCTTAGCTTTTGCAATGGTTGCATAAACTCTGGCCATTATGATCTGATCTCTCATAAGTTTTACAGTGGAATCAGAGTTTGGATTTTCATATTCTTTCCTCCAAATACTATATCTACCCTTGATAGTGGTGTCAAGCTCCAAAGCTCGTTTGATTGCAGCTTCTTGCATCTGGTTATCAATCTCTTTGTCTTGTTGGATCAGCTCTGCTGTCCGACTTTCCCTCCTTTCTCTTCGTAACATCTGCAGGATGGAGAACATTAGAATAAAAATCTAATTAAAAAATACACCTGATAAGCATATAAAATACGTTGACATTTCACCCGTCGTTTGAGTTTCAGTGGATGCACAGCTGATGCTTGTGGATGACGCATTTCACTTCCATATTGATGATCATTAGGGGTATGCCTGCCCGGCTCCCTGCAACTCAATGTAGATCGAAAGGGATCATCAGCAACCTGAAAAAATACAATCGAAAAAGTGACCTATATAATAAGAACTAATCTCAAAATATCAGGCAACTGGACAAAGAGAGAGATAAAGTTAGCACCAAGAAAGTTACCTGTGAACTCTCCGTCAGGCTATAATTCTCATTACTAGGGTTTTTCCACACCCAGGAAGCAGATAAATCCCTGGATCTGACACTGCTAATTCGAACAGCACCAGAAGGATCACTGTATGTAACAATTATATCGATATCCTGCACAAAGTAGTGATAAAAATCATCATCCTGATCTCTGCCATGAGAAGAAGAAAGAAGTTCATTACCTTTTCATCCGGATGGGCAGCAGAACTCATATTACTCTGATCCTGTCAAGCAGTCATCAGCCCATGGTAAAGTGTAACATCAGTTTGTGCAGTAAAATACTTTCAGAGACATGGACAAAGTATTTGCACCAGTTATTGTACGACTATCATGACTGTATCATGCCAGTCTATCTGGATCCATCTATGTTTTATTAATTATTTCATAAATAAAAAAATAAAAATAAAAAATTCACAATCAAGCACTTAACTACGAAAGTATATTTCTTCCTAAATAAATGTATCTCTGGGTAGTAAATAAAAAAAAATGAAATTAATACCTGTCTGTTGAGACACCCTGGACAGTCATAGAGTGGAAATTTTCCCTCATGCTCTCGTCTACTGATAAAGGTGGGCAAAATACAGGAAATTATAACATCAGTATCATGAACAAATAATTATAATGGTAACCGTGCTAAAGTTTGATCCTACCGAAACAAGAGAATCTTAGGAAAAACGAGCATTACATTGATGACATATCTGAAAATTCTGCTCTGACTTGAGCAACACGAATCATGACCTACACGGACAAGCTATACAGAGTCAAACAATTCTAAATGTAGAAGGCCGCCAATGTAACAAGGAAAGGTGTGTCCCCAAGAAACAAACCCGTCAAACTTTACAAACAGTGCCGATATCTTCCCAATTTATTATTGACAGTATGACACTAGTTAATATGAAGGAAAATACTTGTGCACTAATATAATAAAGAAACTGAATCTTTCCAACCAGAAGGGAATGAAAGGAACACAGTAAAACATGCTGCAATCATATATATACAATATGGTAGTAGATAAAGATTGACAAGTCTTCACAACAATTAATCTTAGCTTCCCAGCAGATGAAACCTAGATAATGAACTGACAACTACATTTGGTACACGCATCAAATCAGAAAGTCAATAAGAAATTAAACCCTAATTGTTGAGTTTTTATTTTTTTTACGCAAAATATTTAACATCGATGGAGGCTCATATAGGACAGATAATGTTCTAGCAACTTTAACAGACACAGCAAGCATGGCAATTTAATCTAGTAGAAAACCCAACTACCAGTCTACAGTACACGATGAATTTGAGATACAATAAACAGTTCATATAGGAGAATAAGATCCAATGCAGTGACCTAAAAAAGCGCTAACGAAATCGAAACGATTAATCATACAAAAATAAGATTCTCTATTATGTATTACCGGGAGGAAGAAAATTGACAGAACTAATACAGAGATCAATAATCTTCGACGAGGATCTCTCATGGTAGACCTATCAGAGAGGGGAAGAATCACAGAGTTCGTTTATCGACGAGCTTCGGCATGAATTAAAATGAGGATTTTATATACGCTTGAAGATTTGGAAACGCAGGATTGCTAATTTTGAAGAATTAATTTTTCCAATGTCCCTTACCTCAGTCCATGTCTTGTTACGAAGGGCTTGGTGGGAATTTTATTAATTAATTTTTAATCGTTAGTGAAAAATTCTATTTGTGAGAGAAGAATTTAAATATATTGATTAAAATAGTAAAATAACGGTAAAAAAATTGATATTAAGTAGATTAAAATTTCTACTAAATATGCTCAAAAAAATAAAATGTCAAGAGTTTTGATTCCTGAATTTAGGTCTATGTTTTCGATTGTTAACTAAAATGATGTCAAGTTTTAATTTCTGAACTTCGAAAAATATTATACGTTACTTATTGGCATAAATGTTGAGTTTTAAAAAATGTCGAATTTACAGTGAGTAATGTACAGCATTTTTCAAAGTTCAATAATTAAAAATTGATATTTTAAATTTTAGTGAGCAATCGAAAATATAGACCTTACTTTAATGACCAAAACTCGAAATTTTAAATTTCAGTGTCAATTAAAGACATGGATCTAAGTTCAGTAACCATTGGAACAATTATCTCAATTTTGAAGTTAAACTGTACAATCAATATCAACAATCCTCGTTTGACCCCATTAATTTTCATTTCATTGCATTTCATTTTTTTCATTCCTGTTTTCAACCACACAATTTTCCATAAAATAATATTACACGTAAATCAAAAAAATTTCCTTCTTTTTCAACCACTCATTTTTCAAAAAAATACATTTTTATCCATTTTCATTTTTACAAAATGGGGGCCAAATGGGATCGCGGTTTCATAGTGAAAATTTTCCAGTTCAGAGAATGGGGGTTGTGGGGAGCCAGGTAAATGTGTGTCGCTGAATTTTCAAAGAAATATCAATTAAATCACTGAATTTTCAGAGAAATATCAATTGAATCACTAAACTTTGATTCATTGGATTACTAACTTCAATTTATTTTCAAATTCTATCACTAAATTCTAATTTAATTTAAAATTTCTACCATAAATGAGTTTATAGCATTTATGCTGCTGTGGATCTTCTATATAATTTATATGTAAAATTAACTCTATATCACATCGTAAAGTGTTAAAAAAAAATTAATAATAATAATAATAATAATAATTTACTCTTTAAATTCAAAGACGTCATAATTCTTATTTGACTATTTTTTAATTTAGAACACCACGTAACGGCGTTGATGCCAACTAATTATTTTTGTCTATTTGGAGAATACAATAGTATCGTCAAATTTAAAATTAAACTGGAGTTCAATGATCTAATTCAGACAAATTAAAATTCCGTGACTCAATTGAAACTTAAAAATTCAATGACACTGCTTAACATTTGGTTAGCGATTAGAGCTAATTAAATTTATCATAAAAATATTGTAATTCTCAGCTTATTACGTAATGCCTCAACTCAAATGAAGGAAATAACTTGGAAAACATCTATCATGTACAAAACAATTATCTTCACATTACAATTCAGCAGTAAAAAACCAACAGTTCCTGGCACCATATTCTAATCTCTATAACTTGAACTACTATTACAATGGCAAATGCATTCGAGTCTTAGGGGGCATAAGATGAGGAGAAAAGTGTGCAAAGACAGTACAGCTAGCTAAAGTTTCCGAGATGGCAGTGGATAGGCTGGATTCACATCTTGCCTTGGAAGAAGTGGAGAACGAGATTGCAACGTTTGGTGGGCATATCGATTAGCTGCCTGACGTCTAGAATGTGCTCTGGTCTCTCTGGGTTTCTCTATAACCGACTCAATGCGCTCCAGTTTCTCAACTAGTTCTTGCATTGATGGTCTCTGTCTTGGTTCATTTTCAAGACATGTTAGAGCAAGCTGCGCAGTTTGAATTGCAGCTTTGAAGGGATATTTTTCTTCCAGACGTGAATCCATTATCTTTTTCAGCTTCCTTTTGTCGGATAAATGTGGCTTCACCCAATCAACCAGATTATGTTGCGGATTTGGACGATTTGTGTCAAGTGCGCGTAAACCCGTAAGCATTTCAACTAAAACAACGCCAAAACCATAGACGTCGCTCTTCACATACAAATGCCCTGGTAGAAAAGAAAATGACATTAGAGCATGAACAGCTATCTGTTGGTGCCACCTCTATTTGCTTTTAGCATGAAAGCTCAAAGTCTTTAGCTCATTACCAGTGGCGACGTACTCAGGAGCAGCATAACCATTTGTCCCCATAACCCTTGTTGACACATGGGATTTACTAGCCGTTGGACCCATTTTCGCCAGGCCAAAATCAGATATCTTGGCGTTGTATGACTGAGAAATTTTTTGAGCAATATCAATAAATCAAACCTCTACAGTAAAACGTATGGACAAACTTGCAATGTGCATAAATGAGATAGAAACTATCTTGTTAAAGCGTCAAAGTGATATAAATTAAACTGATACTCGAATATTAGAACTTACCCCATCAAGCAATATGTTGGAGGCCTTGAAATCTCTGTAGATAACTTTTCTATCTGATGCGTGCAAGAATGCAAGACCCTGAGCTGCTCCAATTAATATCTTAAGCCTAATTTCCCATGAAAGTGGCTGTACAGCAGAACCCCCTACACAAACAAACCTCAACAAAATGAATTATTCAGCTCTTACTAGGGAGGACCAGTTTTGCGGGCCAATTCAATACAGCCAACATTTTTATAGCATTAGTTTAATTCCTTACTTCCAAAAAGGTGGTTCTCTAAGCTTCCCTTTTGCATGAATTCATAAACAAGCAGTAGCTCTTTCTCATCCCAACTGTATCCCAAAAGCTTGACAACATTAGGATGTGAAAGCCTTCCAAGGAAATTCACCTCAGACTGCAAAGATAAATGACAAACAGTTACGAATTGGTTATCAGAAATTTAATAAACTCTGAGAATTTACTAAACCAGTGGTTACCTGCCACTCTTCAACTCCTTGCATGCTTTCAGAATTTAACTTCTTAACAGCAATTACAGATCCATTTCCAGTTTTGGTGGTGGACTTGTCGTCTAGCCAACCTTTGTAAACTTTCCCAAACCCGCCTTCTCCCAGCACTGTATCACTTCTAAAATTTCTTGTCGCAGCCCGAAGTTCAGAGTAGGAGAAAATCCTTAGATTGGGGTGGGGCAATATCTGTCCAGATGGACAATCCTCATCACCTCCACTGCCTGCCGAGAATCTACTGTTCCCAGAAACTGTGCTGTCGCTAGAAGATTTTGTGTAACGTGTTGTGTGTGACACTGCCACTGCAATGAATACGAACAATTTTAAAAAGGGGGATTCTAATTCAAGACTACCAAATTTGAAGTGGAATGATTCTTCATTTATTAGCAATCTTGAATAATTAATTACTGCTTATTATGCAGAGGCCTGATTTAAAATTCAGAGAACCAAACAATCCTCCCGCCCCTCAGAACAAACCCAGACCCAGTTGTAAAAATAGGAAAAGAACGAAAAGAAGCCATACCGGAACTAAATTGCTCGGTGGTAGTAGGACTCTGGTTAACTGAGGTAGAGGAACTGTAGCAAATTCCCATGCTAACTTTCCCGATAAAACCTTTTTAATCAAATTACAGGAGTGATTCCTATTTTGATCAAGCTATATTTCTGGTGTTTATCCGAAGACTTGATTGACCTGCAGGTAAGTAAAGCAATCTTTAATTTTCTGCACCCCACGCTTTTTGATATAAGTAGCACCAAGAACGAGTCTTTGCCTGGGTTCGCAAATAGTCAAGTCAAACACCGCGTACTCAGGAAATTGAGGCCAACCGTACACAACGTCCCAGAAATTTAAAGAGTGATCATCAGAATATGCCAATTTTACATGCTTTGCATTAGCCATTGCATCTATACGTTGCTAGCCCTTGCTTGACAACTATTAAAATGAATTTTTTGAAAAATGACTCTCAAGAATACTGAAATTTTTGGAGAATTTATGGTTTAAATGTAGGAAAAATTTTAAATTTATATATAAATATTTTATTGTGAGAACGTATAGTTGATAATGAGTTTGTAAAAATAACACTTGTATTCACCGATTATCAAACAAGTGAGTTGAAAGTCAGTCTTTTATCTATTATGTTCCAAAAAAGAGTAGTTTTTTCCACTACGAAATAAACACAGGAAGGAGGTAAGGAAAGCAGAATATGCATATGATAAGTTGGAGTAGATTATTAAGACCCTTTCAAGTAATGATTATCAAAGCCTATGTTTGGCAATTGGCAGCGTATTTTAAATTTTTTTATTTTTTAAACTCGTTTTTAATCATAAATTTCCTAAAATTTACAATTTTTATCAATTTTTTAACCACACATTTCATTAACGTTTATCAAAATCTACTAAAAAAAACCAATTTTTTTAAATTTTTAATAATAAAGATAAAGAAAATATACAGTGTGTACATATAATCCGCCTGCCTGCCTAACACCAACCCGTCAACGAATTATGCTGCTGTTGAGGAAATTATCTTAGAAAGTATCCGCACTACCGTATGCTTTTGGAATTGAAATTTTATCACAGCAACTCGTCAGATCTCTCCATTTTTATGTTTATTGCTAGTCAAAAACCTTGAATTTCACAAGCACCTTCAATTTAATAATCAAGAAGTCAACAACAAATGCAAATTGGCTGCCACTCTTCCTTCTAGGAAGATGCACGAGATTTTCAGAAAATAAAAGGCCAACTTAAGTCATATACAAACCTTGTTTGGCGGTGTTTTTGAAATATATGGTTAAAAAGTCGTGGAATCCATGAAATATATGATTAATGTTGATTATTTGACTTTGATTTAAATTAATACTAAACAGGGACAAAATAATTCGTATATAATATAATACAATATTATTCTTTCCCCGTAGTATTGGATTGTCAATTAGCGTAGTGCATACCAAAGAAAATATTATCCGTTCCTTCCATTAATCTTCATATGTTATTTATTGTCGAGTTATATCCAACAAAATCAATAACCCACCACTTTAATTTCAAAATTGTTAAAGAACCAAAACCCACAAAAGACGGTTCTAAACTTGGACTAACACTTGCTGAGTCTTGCGTTCAAAAGATAAAATTGCCAAAGTTGCTTTTGAATTCTATTATTTTCAAAGATTACGAGACTTGCATAATATTTTACTAACTTTAGTGATGTCATAGTACAAGTCACCACAAAAACAACTTAAAATAAGTTATATGCCCCCATTTGTTTTTTATTATTTGTTCATTAAAATAAAAATATGATCGTTATCTATCACATCAAGTCATCATATTTGACGTTCTATCTTTTGTGTGGGGCACATAACGATTATATTTTTCATTCTTAAAAAAAAAAAGTTGAACCCCAACCTTGAGGGCCTCTACGGCCCCTAGAACTTTGTAAGGGAGGTAAATCGCGGGATGTGCCACAGCAAGCCAGGGAACAATAACTGTCTGTACACTGCGCATACAATGAGTCCAATTTCATGTCTCAGGAATCGAACCCCCACACTGCGGCTATCAACAAGGCGTGAGATAATTTCACTCCTGTCATTTGCACCACTGGACTATGCCCTGGGGGCTTATAGTTTTCATTCTCATTTTTACATTAATGTGTATCAAACGAGGCCTAATGAACTCAATATAATTTATTCAAATATTAACTGTTGAAGATTATAAATAAATAAAATTTCTTGTTTTTTAAAAGTTCAATTTTTTATACAAAACGATTGAAAGTAATATTATACATGTTTGAGAATCACTAATGCTAATTTATGCCAAAAAATAATAATAATAATAATAAATAAATAAATAAATAAAAATTGTTAGACGTGTAATGAAGAGAATAAACTCAATTTGTATGTAGAGTAACTTAATTAGAGAATATTCAAAATATATTTACTGAGACTTTTAACTTAAATATATAATAATCATGGACATTCAACCGTGCCACTTAAACTATTCCTAAATTCCTAATAAGCACAACGAACAATAAAATGTAAACTTTATTTTGAAATGTCAATGAAGTATTAATTTTGGACTAACATTGAATAGTACTTATTAAAAAGTGGCCCCACTTTCTTCACACATAAAAGAGAAATGTATAGTGAGCATTGATAAAAATCTAGCCTATAAATGTCTGGTAAAGATAATTGTGATGGAGTGACATAATATTAATTGTTAAAATATGATTGGATGAAAAATTTGACTGTATTTGTCGCATGAATAAGTCCACACTAACCCTTCAATTTGGGACCAATTCGTTATTTTCTCACCCACACTAACCCGTCAATTTGGGATCAGTTCGTTATTTTCCTTGAGAGGTAAGCATGAGATTGAGTCTCGCATATCTACCATTTCATCATCAATGCATCTTGTTCTTGACAGTCCATCTTTGTTTGAGTAGAGTCTTTCAATAACATGTTTTCGATCATCTCCCTCATAAACGATAAGTAGAAAAGCAATAGGAACTAGAATGAATAGTGTAATCGCAAGAATATTACTTCTTAAATCCCTCGATGATGTATTTCATTACATTTTTTGGCTGGTAAAGGGTTCATTTGAAACTGTCCAATGATAAAATATCATATAGTATTATTTCAATCATTATATTAATGATTATGTAATGTCGCATGATTCGTAATATTATTTTATTGAGAAAATTTTATCTGTGATAAATCGCTTTCAAAACTACTCTTTTAACTTAATTATTCTGGTTTAGAAACGGGTAAAAAAAAAAAAAACAAGGTTTAATTGAATAAATATACAGGAAGATTCAGAGGCCAATCGAACTGCTATATAATAATATGAACATTGAAAGAAAAAGCTTCTTATTCTTATTACGCTAAGCCAGTACGTACTCGATTACTGATAGATCAGCCAACAAAGCAGCTGCCTAGACAGCTAATTAGATAGCATTAGAACGACATTACTTCCCCACATACAGATGGAGACGGCACAGAGCTAATATTTATAACCCCGACTACTTAAGCGGCGCAGGTGGTACAAGTGCAACCGGGACCGCACTTGCAGAAAGCCCTGCCCGTCGCGGTGACTTCACTTTTCGAACATGTGCAGATGTTGCAGCTGCAGTGCTCGCCACAGGAGCACAGCTTGTGCTCCATGCTTGAGACGTCTTCAGCTGATACACACCTGCATACATTTTTAATTCTGTTTCAATATTTGTTTGAGAACCCCAGAAATAGTTAACTTAATCTCTCCGTACTTTTTGTGCCTAACCTGCATGCGGTGCCACCCGGGCACGGTGAAGGACAGCCACATCTATCGTCACAGACGACAGCTCTTGGCCTTGCTTCCGCCATTTCTTAGTTTCTTCTTGTTTGCTTTTCATCTTCATCTTTATGTGACGTCTTTTATACGAGATGAAAGATAGACAGTGATGGTGCTTGGCGCGACACTTGGCTACTACGTGGCAAAACTCAAATACACTTGTCATCTGCGTGACTGCATCCAGCATTTTCTCGCATTCGTAAACATTCTGAAATCTAGTCTAGTATTCTAGTGTAATAATCTAGAACTTTTTCTTCAATAAAGCCAGAACCAGCCCAACTCTACCCAATATCATTAGGCTCTTTCTACACATCGCTGAACGGGCCAGCTGCTCGTGGGTTTAGTTCGATTCGTTCCGATTGGTCCATGGACGGACCCAGTTCGATAGGAGCATCATGAACTGATAATATATTATTTCACAAGTCGAGGAACAGTCGATGAACAAATTGGCTCGTTGGTTAAGGCCCATAAGCAAACTCTTGGCTCGAAGGCCTAAATACTTTTTTATAAAAGAAAATTGTCTAAAACCCTACTTTTAAAGATTAATTTTCAAAAAAGAAGAAAATTAATTTTCATTTCACAAATCAAATGATAATTAATTTTTAATAACTGTAATTAATAAAAATTTAATTAAACCTAATCTACATATTCACCGAACCCCCACCCCATTCCCAATTCATTCCCAACTCGTTTTCTCCCTCTTTTCTATGTACCACTAAATATCTACCACCACCACCAAATCAATCTTTAGTCCAACCAGAACTTTTCAAATGTAAATTCAAGAGAGCGGGGACAATGGATGGACAGGTGGTTATGGATACATCACCAGAGGTAATGGAGACTTCTTCAGTGGTAGTGGAGGCGACTTCACGGGTGGTGGCGAAAATATTGAAAGTGGTGTTAAGCTTACAGGTGGTGGCGGTGGTTGTGAGTGATTGGAGGTGGAGATGCGCTCTCGGGGGGTGGAGGAGAGAAAATTGATTTTGTTGTTGGATTTGGTGATGAAGAAGGTGGGACCACCATAGTTTTATCAAATTTTTAGTGATAGGTGGTTTTTTATCAAATCTTTTGTTTAACCAGGGTTTTTGAATGGTTGTTGGTGTTTTGCAGTGTCGGTGATTTTCTGATCAGTGGTGATTCTGTTGTTGGTGGTCGTAACCGGTTGTGATTTGAGATTAACCTGGTAATGGACAGTCACACTGAATATAATTTTGGTTACAGGTAGTCACACAAAAGATAAAGTTGATCATGGTTAATCACAGGTCTGCAGTGTGTGCAGATTTATTGGTGGTGATCCTATGCGATCAAGTATTTGTTTGTTGTGACTGTTTGTAATCAATTTTCTGTTGATTGTGATCTATTATGACTTGAGATTGACCTGGTCACAAATAGTTACACTACAAATTTGGTCACAGTTAGTCACACCGATGGCAAAGTTGGTCATAGGTGTCGGAGTAATTATTGGAGCAGTTTGCAGGATGGAAGGTCGAACAGCCGTGTGAGCAGGCGTCGAAGTGATCATCGAAACGCCGCAGGAATGATCGTTGGAGTGATAGTAGGAACAACCGTTGGAGTGGCCGCCAGAGTCATTGCTGGAGCCGATGACAGCCTCCAATGGAGAGATGGAGGGAAGGTAGTGTAGTGAAGTTATAGGATGGGGTGACATTGGTGGAAATAATTAATATATATTATTTTATATTTTAATATTTAATCAATTTATTTACCACTTGATTTTTGAAATATTTTAATGATTTTGTTATCTATGAAATGTGATATTTAAAACTAGGAGTTATGTTAAAATCTCTTTTTATAATCATTGGTCAAACTGGCAAAATGTACAAAATTTTAATTTTTTTTAAGCTCTTGTTTGAACCCTATTTTTTAATAGTGTATTGATGAAAAATGTGTGATTAAAAAATAAGGAAAAATTTTGAATTTACATGTAATATTATTTTATTGAAAATGTGTGAATTAAAATGATGTCAAAACACTTTTAAGAATGCATTTTCTCCACAAAAAAAAAAAAAAAAAATGGGGTTTAAAAAAAAACAATGATCATGATCTTTTCTTTTCTATATAAAACCTACTTCAATTCCCTTTTTTCCCACAAATCTCTAAATTCTCGATTTGAAATCTTCGTATAATTATTTTATTTTGCAATCTAAAATTTTATTATCGCTGAACTTAGTTATTTGAATTATTCCTATCTAATTCTTAGATAGAAACTATGTCTACAATATATTATTCCAAATGAATAATAACATATTGTTGACCATGGGAGTAAGAATCCACTCGAATTAAATGACGTTGAAGAAGATAATAACAGAGTACTTTTTCCTATGTGCTTTCATTTTAATATCAATTCTATTATTTGACAGCATTTACTGGGATTTAAAATTCAATGTTCTTATCTATTTAATATTCTCTATCGAGTAAAATTAAATATATTATTACATGTGACCCTACTGCACCTCTATCAAGGATGCAAACATATAAAGATGCATTAAATCACGAGACAATTCACTCAAATCATTATAGATATATTTCTATCTGTATTGGACTTTACAATTATTCTTAACGCACCAAATTCTTGTTATTTCTGTTGAATGTCCAATAGAAATCATAAAACAATTCAACTAAAGGCCAAATAATTGAAAAACATTAAGATCCTAACAATCATCAACAAACAAGTAAATTTTTAATGTTAGAAGTTAGAAATCAATATCTAAATGTCAAAACATAAGTTTCAACATTATTTAACACCTATACAAATAGTCAAGCATCGTGTAATTATATTATCAACGCCACTCGAAATAAAAGCATAGAAAGAAGATGAAAAGTGATCTTGGATTGTTGAATATCTTCGATGGCTTCTTGATTAATCTCATTTGATTATTCTTTTTCTTCTTTAACCCGGAGAAATAGATGTATGAAATTATATAGATAGGTGTTTTATAGTAAAACTTCTAGAAAGTTTGAAAGAATTGTGCATGTGATGATTCAAGGCTTTGTCATTGATTATCTTCCTTGTAAGAAATATATCTTATATTATCCCTAAAAGCCTTCTCATTGAATTGTAGATGAAGATATATATTTTGTAGATAACAAAATTTAGGTCAAAATTTGTGTCCTAATTACTTCGCAAATAAAGGTTGAATGAAATTAGGAAATAAAATCTTCATGGCTTGAAATGCCCGTCCGATTGCATAGTTCGAGTATTTGAGCTGTTAGAACAGAAGATTTTGCACTTGCAATCACTAGGCATAAGTATGCCACCTTGTTCACTTTGGTCTCTAAATTTCTCATCATGTTCAGATCGAGTCCTTCCTTACATGCACAATAAGTCCTTTATCTTGAGGAATTATTTATAATTGATTTGATGCAAGTTTTGAAGTTTGCTAATGGATCATCAACTTTTCAAATGTTAAATTGAACCCCCAAAGTTTGTGAATTTCCTTCTGTTGCTCTTTTATTCCTTCCTATTGATCACTTACAACAAGAATAAGCTTTAATTGCCTCGAATCAACTCTAATTAAGCTCCAAAACACTTTTATTCACGCTAATTATGTCAAAGTTGAGATTTTTTCTACTATTAATATATTCAATTTAAATTAGATAGATATTATCTCAATTAATAAATAACTAATGAAGAGCCTATTTGAGTCCCATTTTTTTTTGTCCAAAATGTATTTAAATAATAATTTGGTGGAAAATGTTCAATTAAAAAATAAGAAAAAATTTTGGATTTATATATAATATTATTTTATTGAAGAATGTGTAGTTGAAAATAATATAGAGAAAAATGTATTTTGAAAATAACAGAGACTAAACAAGAGCTAAATTCCATATAAGACCGTAAAATACATTGGTTCAAGAACATTATTAGAGAATTTAGTTGTGAAACTAAAATATGTAGTTTTATAACAAATCCAAAAATAGGGATATCTTTGAGTTTTCATTCTAAACTCAAAGTACATGTATATGTATATGTGCTAGAGTTGAGTATATGTAAGAAGGTATAACTCAGAAGTTTTGGAACAAGGATTTGTGTCTCCACATTGCTTGCCTTTGTCCAATGGAGAGTATAGTTATGAAGCAAATGGTAGAGCGAATTCAAGTGGTGATAAATTAGACAACAAAAATATCATTATTTATTACACATAATTTTTGCTATACAACAAATTTCTTTTCTGGCATGTATATTTTTTTCAATCATGCTATACATACAGGCCCTGGTTCACAGGGATTGTACATGAACTTTAAAAAAGATAAAAGAAAAGTAGAAAAAAAGGAGGGACATGTAAATAACTATAAATTTATTAAATTTCTTGTGTTTTTTTGTTTTTAGGATCATTACAGAATGTTAAATGAAGTCGGAAAATGACCAATCGTAGCAAATATTACGACAAATCAAATAAGTTATTTCAAACTATATTTCGAGAATTTCGATAACATGTTAATTTTAAAAGTTTTTCCACGATCGCACGCTAGTCAAATCAATATATCGCCTATGTCATCTTGAAACTCATTTTGAGAATTACTTCATAGACATATCGAATTATTTAAATGAGTGTCGAAAATAATTAAACGTGCGTCAAAAGTGCATATTAAAAAGAAACATATAGTTCGTCTTTTCTTTACATTTTTTCATTAATATTTATTATTTTTGCACAAAAATATCTCAATATAATTCATATCATTTTATTAGAAAATTTTACTTGGGTATGACATCACAAAAACAAAAACAAAACAAAACAAAAATTCTCGAATGTAAAAATTCATAATAAAATTTTCATTACTTTATATGGGGTATGAATTGTTATACTATTTTTTCCTCTCAATTATTTTTACATGCAAAACACTCTCTTTTTTTTTTTTTAAATACATTAAGGTTACATTTTCCTCTCGATCATTAAAAAAAGATTAAAATTATCTAATAAATTTCCTAATACAATTTTTTACTTTAAAAAAAAATTAAATGACGTCTCTTTTTAATTAATGTCAAATTTTATACATTAATGTAAATTATCGTCTCTTGATCGTTTAGGAAATTTTTAAAAATCTACATTTTAAATGACATCATTTTACACTCGATTTTTTTTTTGACGTCATGTCCTATAGAATTTTTTTTAATAAAATAATGTAAATTATATTGAGAAATTTGTCGTACAAAAATAATAAACATTAATAAGATAATTGAAATTTTTTTAAAGAAAAGACTAGTTATACACTTCTTTTAACACGTAGGTTTAACCTTTAAATATTTTCGATGTTTAGTTAGATCATTCAATATTTCTATGACGTAGCTCTTGAAATGAGTTTCAAGATGACATAAGCGATATATTGATTCAACTAGCGTATGGTCATCAATTTTTTTTTTGAATTAGTATGTTATCGAAATTCTTGAAATGACCTACTTCGATGTGTCGTAATATTTTCTATGATTGATCATTTCTTGCGTAGTTAACGAAGTGAAAAATTAGGTTACGAGCATTTCGAAATGATATTAAGAACGTATTTCGACTTTATTTGACATTCCATGATTTTATTCATGTTCGATTCACTTAAAAAACTGAATAAAATTTAAGTTAAATTCAACATTTTACTTTAATAATATATTTTAAATAATTCATAACTTTTTAACAATCTTGCTTCGTTAATTTCTATCAAAATTTACTTAAAAATTCGATTTTTATTTAAAGCAATGGGTTCAGTTGACAGTTTTATAGGTTAGAGGAACAGCTAAGCCTTAATTTTCCCTAATTTCTGAGATAACAAGTTAACAACTAAGGTAAAACAAGGACACAAGGAGCAATTGGAAGCCAAGATCTGCCAACTCTACTGAAAGACTCGAGACTCGGGGTCTCCGTTTCATATTTCCACGACACAACTTCAAACAAGGCAACAATTCACCATATCGATCGTCAATTATTCAAGCCATGAAGGATCTTAACTTGTTGTGATACTGGTGGCTGCTTTCCTTTGTCATAAGCCCTCGATTTCTTACCATACACATAGCAAATATGGGAAAGTGCTGCTCTTGCGATTACCGTTACCTACTCCTCATCGCCGCTGTCCCGTTTATCTACATCCAGGTTTTCCCCCTTTTCTTTTTCAGTCTGATTTATGTGTTATTTTGAATAAGATTTTATTAATTTAGCTGAAATGGAAAGAACCGATTATTAAAAGGCTTAAATTTACTCACAAAGACCGTGCAATTGATTCATGGTATTTACATATACTGATATCTAATTTTCTGACGGCTTAGTTAATTATGACACGACTGACTCAGTTGATCGATTCACAGATGCGCCTCTTTGTTACTCAATCACGGTATGCTGATCAGATTGCTGATGCTGTACGTATGCCTTGTAAAATTTAAACCTTGTACTTACATATAAACAGGATTACTAGTTTGAAGCTACTTTTATAGACAACGTGTATTGTTCTTTCTTTTATTTTACTTGGGTGTTTCACATGAGAGTGCGGACATTTACTTAACTTATATTGGAATTTTAAAAATTGACTAAAGTAGTTAACAATTGCATCACCATCTTCTGTTTAAATTACTTACATTGGCCTCGTGTACGAGAGGTAAAGTTTGTACCTAATACACATATTCTGTGACAACAGATTGAGGCAGAAAATCAGTGTACAAGACAGACAAGATTGCTAATCGATCAGATTAGCTTGCAAAAAGAACGACTTCTTTCCCTTGAAGGTGCTCTAATGTTTCGACTTCTGCCTCTGATGATGATGGATGATCATTTCTTTTTTCAATTAAAACCTTTTTAACTTCTTGCTGAATTGAATAGATTTTGTAATCTGCAAACGAGGCATATGAAATTGATATTAAGCTATTGTAATGTAGACTAGGAAAACTAATATCTTTACTACATTTTTTGTTTACGTTATTTTTCCTCCAGTTAACAGATTTTGGGACCGCTTGGGCAATCCATAATTTTGCAATTTGATACTGTTTCTTTTTCTTAATGAGGGCTACTATTTTTATTTACTTTATCATCCTTTTCTCACTCTCTTTTCTGATAGCAATATTGGGAGCCTTAAGTTTAATTTATAATTTTGCAATGCATTGGTGTTTCTTTTTATACTGATTTTATTTTATTATTTTAATTATCTTTGACCTTCCACAACTGAGACCCTGCTATGATTTCAGAAGAAAAGAAGCGTCAAGATCAGGAATGCAGACATTTGAGAGCACTAGTTCAAGATCTTGAAAGTATGTTCACGAGTCTACTTCTTTTTCTGTTTATCCTTTACGCATTTAATATCTTGTTAAGCATGAAAGAAGATAAATCCTATCTCCTAGTCTACTAATTTAGAGAGGTATGAAGTAGAACTCTTCACTCTGAGGTGAGAAGAAGAGAAGTAAGAAAAACAAGTACCCAGGAAATGCTGCTTAGGATTTTATCTGCCAAACCAGAACCAAATGCACTACTTGTTTCTATAGGGTTGAACATTAATATACACCTAGGGAAGGAGAAATAGATTGAGGGGGTGTTTGATTCCCATTTTCCTAAAATACATTTTTCTCTCTCTTCTTTTTAACCATATATTCTACATTAAAATAATATTATATGCAAATAAAAAATTCTTCTTTCTTTGTTAACCACACATTCTCCATCAATCTACTATTCCAAAATACATTCTTTAAAAAGAATGCGGCTCAAACACACCCTGAGCATGTTCTGTGAGGTTTGCTATGGAATCTCGTCAAAGATCTTCCGGTAGGGCAAAATTTTGTCCCCAAGAATAACCTCTTTTTGCAGAAATTTTATATTTTTGTAAGTGGAAAAAGGGTTCAACAGCCCCAAATCAAACTTACCAAAATCATCTACTGCTGCATGCTTCAAAATAGTACTGAACTTTTTCGAAAGTGTGTCAAATTAGCGTGTTGTACAAGACTTGGGACAGATTATTTGATCAACTCTCATATCATGAACTTGGACTTTCTTTACAAGAAGATGTAGGTAACATGGACTTTCTTTACAAGACACGTATATTTGGTGGATTCATGAAACTTGTCTAGCTTAGGCAGCTACCAAAATAACTATAAACAAAAGCCTAACCTCTACAAGTTGCCTAAATGTTACATGCAGTAAAATGTTAGGTGAATACATTATTAACTTGAGACTATTTGGAATTATAAGTTGACCTTATTTTGTACCCAACATCTTCAGATGTTGATGCATAAATTTTTTTGGCTCCCTTCTCACGTCCTAGAAGAAAAGAGCTGTATCAAGAAAATAGTAGTCCATATGAAACTGACTTTGCCTATATAATAACATGCCTGTTGAGGGAAATAGATTTTTAACTCCATCTTTATTATGAGGGCATGATAGAAGAGCTTCTTGCTGCAGACTTGCGTAATAGACAGACTACTTGCTCATCCCCACCTTCCCCTCACTATAAAAAGTAAATTATCTGTAAATTATGAAAATAATCAAACTTTGCCTCTGTGTTGCCGATGGAGGAATGTGCATCAAATACACACAGATTTCCATTTTTGTGATTTTTTTTTTTTTTTTTTTTTTTTTTGTGTGGGTTTTTTANCTATTTGGAATTATAAGTTGACCTTATTTTGTACCCAACATCTTCAGATGTTGATGCATAAATTTTTTTGGCTCCCTTCTCACATCCTAGAAGAAAAGAGCTGTATCAAGAAAATAGTACCATATGAAACTGACTTTGCCTATATAATAACATGCCTGTTGAGGGAAATAGATTTTTAACTCCATCTTTATTATGAGGGCATGATAGAAGAGCTTCTTGCGTGATAGACAGACTACTTGCTCATCCCCACCTTCCCCTCACTATAAAAAGTAAATTATCTGTAAATTATTAAAATAATCAAACTTTGCCTCTGTGTTGCCGATGGAGGAATGTGCATCAAATACACACAGATTTCCATTTTTGTCTTTCCTTTTTTTTTTTTTTTTTTTTTTTTTTTGTGTGTGTGTGTTTTAAAGATAACTCCATTCAAGCCAGATAAGGGTTTTAAAGTTGAACTTGAAATAGGGGTTACTGTAGCATAATAATCAAAACATTTGGGTACATGGAGGGGGACATGCTACCTTACCTCCAAGGAATTACATTCAACCTATCTATTAATCTAATGGCAAATGACAGAGTATGAGAGTGTACAAGGAATTACCTCTAACTGATCAAACTAGAAATAAACTAAGGAGTTAAAGTGAATAAAAATGAATGAAACAATTACAGTCTTAAGCTTAGGCACACCCCATTTGTCTAACCTCAAGAGTCCTCCTCTAACTTCACCTACTAATTCATGGGGGTGTAGATCTGGAGTTGTCTTTCGATGTAGCCAGTATTAGTCAACCAATCCTCGACTGTATTTCCCTCTCTTCATATGTGTAAGAGGAGGAGGGGGGGGGGGGGGGGGGGGGGGGGGGGGGGGGGGGGTTCATTTGTTTTTGCCAAAGGTGAGTGTCCTCCTTGTGGTACTGTGTAGTCTATGGCCCGACTTCTTGTAAAGCAATTAAATGGTTACCACAGAGTCAACCTCCACCTAGATGTTATGCAAACCATATTCGCAACAGAGTCTCAATCCAGTTCAAAGAGCTCTTGTTTCAGCTGCTAGGCTAGTGCAATTTTCATAAAATTCATGAAAAGTGAAGAAAAATCCCCTTTATAAATTCCTAACGGCCCCCACCTGTTGCAAGTTTGAATGAGCCTTTGAGGCGGTGATCAGTTTTAAGTTTTAACTGTATATATAAGAAAGCACGCAAACATGTGCATTTGCTATCCTATGGGCGCATTGTGTTGAACCCACATTTTCCATGTAATAACGTTTTTTTCTCCTGTGGCAGGGAAGGGCCTCAAGAAATTGGTTGGTGATGTACAGGTTTGATGAGTTGAAAGATTACAGTTCTTGCTGTTCTATGCTATCTTCTTATCACTAGAATCATTGAACATATTACTGAGTGATTAGGTTCCAGTGGCAGCTGTTGTGGTCATGGCTTGCAACCGTGCTGATTACCTCGAGAAAACTATTAAATCTATTCTAAAGTATGTTTTGTTTATCTTTTAGTGCTTCTGATTTTCTAGCGTGTAGTTCCAGCTGACCATCTTGAGACAATCTTTTATGCTCTCTAGGCATCAAAGTTCTGTTGCATCCAAATATCCTCTCTTCGTATCACAGGTGCCTATTTTTTCATCCTAAATTGCTGCTAGTAATTCTTTCACGTGTATGGGCATATCCCTATGTAGAAGTTGCTCATTTTGTGTGGAGGATGAAAGATATAATAATATTTTCACTCATTTTGCCAGGATGGATCAGATCCCAGTGTCAGAAGTAAAGCATTGAGCTATGATGGGCTAACTTACATGCAGGTCATTTCTTATTTTTCATCCTAGATCGATACAAGTCTAGCATCATATCTCAGTGACCGAGTTCCAAATCTTTTAAGCATTGAGGCATTTTTTACCAAGCCTAATTCTCTATCTCATTTTATTACTCACCCCACAGGCTTTGAAATTTCAAGATTTATGTAAACATCTGCGAAGAAAAGAATTGACTTGTTATATTTATTCCTGATCGTGCCTCTGGTTCTTGAACTGTGCGAGCTCTTTCAAGCATTAAATTGAATTGTTGGTTATATTCTTTTGCAGCATTTGGATTATGAACCTGTGCATACAGAAAGACCTGGGGAGTTGATTGCTTATTACAAGATTGCACGTATGTTTCTGCTTTCCATGGTTCCCCACTAGTTTTTGTGTTAGAAAAGTTTTTATATGGTTCATTCTGTTGCCTGTCTTCCGGAGCATTACAAATGGGCTCTGGACCAATTATTTTACAAACATGATTTTTTATATGGCCAATATCATTCTGTTGCCTGTCTTCCAGGGCATTACAAATGGGCACTGGACCAATTATTTTACAAACATAATTTTAGCAGAGTTATCATCCTTGAAGGTGACTACAGTCTTCTTTCTGCTTTGAATTGCTTTTCTTTTTCATTTTTATTCATGACGTTCACGAGTCAATTCACTTGGAATATTCATTTTTGTGCAGATGATATGGAAATTGCCCCTGATTTCTTTGACTATTTTGAGGCTGGAGCTGCCCTCCTTGACAGTGACAAGTGCGCCTTTTCCACTTGATCAAACTATAATAAGTTACATTTCACTTTGATATTCAATATTGAAGGGTCACAACTCACGTACTCCTAATATGTTTCTGCATTTTCTTGGGGATGTGATAATGATAGAACCATAATGGCAATTTCATCATGGAATGACAATGGACAAAGGCAATTTGTGCATGATCCTTGTAAGTTGCTTTTAACTTAAAAAGTGAGCTGTTAAACTCATATAATTTTAACTAGGTCTCTGCTCAGTTCTCTGTCTATTATTTTGAATTGAAGTGACAATTTCATCTTATTGTCTGTTGAAGGCTGAGTCCTAAGGGTGTATAGCTAGTATTGCATTTTTTGGTGAGTGGGGGTGCACTAGTTGCATTATAAAATTGAGTTCAAATAAAAAATTCTCTTAATCATTAAGTAAAATTAGAGAAAACTAATATTACTTTCGATAGGCAAAACAAAAACCAAGAAGAGTACGGTACATTTCTCATACTTAATTGTACCATATCTTGCTTTCAAGCTTAACATGTATGATATGATCAAAGTCATATTTCTGCAATAACTCAAGCACTGGATCCCTCATTTCATCTCAAAAAAGATTTGTCATGGAAAGGACATGTTCAAAAATCAAAATCATATTTGCCCTCATCCTTCCTGCTATTAGTGTTACAGTTAGGTGTAAATTAATATACATCTCTCCAGGGTCCGTTTGAAGTGGTTGACTTCTTTATACGTGTACAATTTTATTTTAAGATTGATATGACTAACCATTTTAGGTATATAGATGACTTTTTTGTTATGTTTTTGTGATCATCCATTGAACAAGCTTTTCGGATGAACTTTGCTATAAATTTATTTGTCCGCTTTCTGTCACATCTTCCAGATGTACTTTACCGCTCCGATTTTTTCCCTGGTCTTGGATGGATGCTCTCTAAATCCACGTGGGATGAACTGTCTCCAAAATGGCCCAAAGCATATCCTTCTGGAGCTGACTTTTAAAGTTGTATTCAAAAGTTAAAATTCATACTTTATTGCATCAGTTCTATGAATATACGTCTTTGTGTGACTCTTTACTGCAATCCTCAAGAATTTTCTTTGACCAAAAGATCACTTACTGGGATGACTGGTTGCGACTGAAAGAGAATCACAAAGGACGACAATTTATTCGCCCAGAAGTATGCAGAACATATAATTTTGGGGAGCATGTAAGAATTTTTGGAACAATCTCCAGTTTATTTTGTTGAAATTGACTTAATTAATAGGTTTCCTTTGTTCTCTTCATTTACTTGTCATTTCTGCCATTCATCCCACTGACAAGTATCTCCATTTTTTATTTTTTTTTATTTTTTAATGACGAAGTCCTTCTCAGGCATGAGTTTCGTAAGTTGATAGCATAAGTTTTAATATTTCTATAAATTCCAGCTTTTTGTCTCTCGATGAGAGCAATTATCATGATTAGCATGTAAAACCCATTAGTCTCACTGAAATGTTCACATTATTCATCTAATTCTACAATGTGAAGTTTGTGTCAATGTGAAAAAAAATGGTCTTTTGTTTACTGTTAATAATAGGTTTGGTCAAGTATCTTTCGAAGCATTTGCTATTAATTTTTCTAATCTGGCTTTTGCTTTTCTTTTAAGTTTTCCTATAAATCCCTTATCTGTAGGATTTATATTTTTTGGGAGCTATGTGTTGACCAAAATTTGACACCGGGTTTGTATCCTGATGATTTACATAAAATATGTCATTTAGTTTTTGGCTGCAGAAATATTAAATGATTGCATGTCTTAAGACCTCTATCCCCTCCTCTGCCCTTCTACACCAGTGTTACCGTGATCTCATGAAAGTAAAAACACGGATTAGTGTGCTTCTGCTGAAGGAAGTGTCTTAAATTAAGTTAGAACGATGTGATTTTACTATATGGTGAGTTCTGTTTGGGACTGTAATTCCTTGGCATTTGCTTGTTTGAGGTTCCTAATTTTCACGCAGGGTTCTAGCATGGGCCAGTTCTTCAGACAATATCTTGAACCTATCAAGCTGAATGATGTCAAGGTATGCTAGCTGGATATGTCATTGTAATCCACCGCTCACGTCATGCTTCCTTTGTCTAACTTCTTGTGTGATGACTGATGATCTATCTGGTAGGTCAACTGGAAATCGATGGACCTCAGTTACCTGGTTGAGGTAACTTCTTATCTTACTTCTTAAAAAAGTAATTACTGTATGACGGTCAACAGAAAGAAAAGGAAAATAATGGTTGCTTGTATGGTATCCTCTGTGCCTATATAGGACGAGTACGTGAAGCACTTTGCCGACATGCTTAAAAAAGCAACACCTGTACATGGAACTGATGCGATTCTAAAAGCATATAACATAGATGGCGATGTGCGTATTCAGTATCAAGACAAATCAGATTTTGAACGCATTGCAAGTCAGTTTGGCATTTTTGAGGAATGGAAGGTAAAAGTCCTTGCATTTGGGTTCTTTATCGTCGCCATAATTCTGAACCTTCCTTCAGCATGGGTGAAATAAAATTGGACTGCTGCTGACTTTTTAGTTATTTAAACTAGTTGAATCTTTTGTGCACGTGTGGTTTTATCAATTAGCGGACTTCTAATTGAATCATTCGTCGCCTAGTTCCAACTTTCTTCATACATGTAGTCTCAAACCTTTCCCGCATGCGGCCAAAATCTAGCAGACTGGGTCTAGGTGATCGCAATTCAGTACTAAGCAAGTGGTCTTTCCCTCCCTTTGTGATTCCTTGGGTCTTAAATTGCGATTAAAGGCATAGGTAGTGGGTTAAACTCCCCACCTTGTGATTGGACAGGCCACTTGCTCAGTGAAGAAGCTGCATCACTGTAAACTTTTTCCGGTTCAATTGACCGAAAATGTATCCTTGTTCTGATTTTATTTATCTCCAGGATGGTGTACCGAGGACAGCATATAAAGGAATTGTTGTTTTCCGATACCAAACTCAGAGGCGTGTATTCCTTGTTGGGCCCGATTCTCTCCAACAACTTGGAATCAAAGAGGCTTAAAACGAATTGAATTGTGTAAGTTCATGACTATTTGATGATTGATTATTGACCTCCTTATCCCAGCCTACTGTATCAAGCTTCCCAGGCCACAAGGCACCATGTAAGCATTCAATAGTAGAGAAGGGTCGGTAATAGGCAAAAGAATGAACTTGTACACGTGCAGTGGATTTTTCTGGCAAAATCTTAAATGGAAAAATTCCGTTAATTAATAATGGAGGTATATTGCTGTTATTATTATTGTTATTGTTATGACACTAGCTCACTCTCACGGAGGTTTTGGATCGATTTTGCTGTTATAACTTAATTAATTGCACTCATTGAAGCTGTGGAATGATTCTTTATCTTCTGCTGAACATTTTATTCGTGTGAAAGATGAAAGAGGCTTTATAGGTGGAGTACGTAAAATTAAAAAAAATATATAGAACGTGTGAGATATATTAATTACACAAGAAGCCAGAGAGGGTTTGGTGGGGAAGCAGAATGATTGTGGATGCGGTGAGCAATTGACATCTAATTTCTGGGGTGTATTTAATTTAGATTTTTATAAATAATTTATTGGCTATAGATTTCTAAAGATTTATTTGATAGACCTTTATTTTAGAGAACAGCAACAAAATTATATTTCTTTTGTCAATATAAATATATTTTTAAAAAATATAGGTATTTTTAATTAGATAAATAAGCAATCAAAATACAAAAATAAAAACTATAACGTTTCAATATTTTTTGATTAAAAATCTCTAATATTTAGCCTCTATTTGTTTTCCATTACTTGGCTATTAAAATGAAAAATATGACTATTATCCATTGCATCAAATCACCATATTTGAATTTATATCTCCTGTGTAGAGTTGTAACGGTTATATTTTTCATTCTGATTTTTACGTTAATCAGAAACAAACGGGGTCTTAATAATTCCAATACATCCAAACATGTAGATGTTATTATAAAATCAATCTTTCTACATATACACTTTCTTTGACATTAAGTTTGACTTGTACCACTTGTAGCACAACAAATTGTCAGTTTTAAAATGAAAAATATTTTTCCGCCCATAAATTTTTGAATTTGCAAATAATGTCAAATTCCATATGCAACATGAAGTGTACAAGGAACATTATTCTTATAAAATATGCAGCCAATATACAAGAGTTTCATTTATGAATGAATCTCTCCCTTTTTTCCCTTATAAAATCTTATTTGAGTTTTTTTTTTTTTTCCTTATAGGAAAAGAGGAGAGATTATGAATAGTAGATTGATGAAGTGTGTGAGGTTAAAATTTAAAGAAAAATTTTAGATTTGCTCGTAATATTATTTTATTGAAGAATTTATGGTTGAAAATGAATTTTGAAAAATAAATTTTTAAAAGAATTGAAATCAAACAATGGCTATAGTGGTTGGAATTATAGCTAATGCAGTCAAGTTGTGGTCTATAGGGCTCTGAAGACAATCGCCATTTAGTTCAAGGAGTATCTTTTTGTCAAAATAGTTCACGCTTTATACTGTTAATAATATCACACAACTCGACAACGGGAATGATGCGAATCAGATGAATGATAAGAAGACTAAAAATCTCGAAGTGATAAAATAGTGAATCCACAAATAATTTTAAAGTTCCACGAATTCAAAGATTCTTGTGAGAAGGAAGGGTAGTTGAAGACAAAACACATGGAAGTGCTATCAAGTTCCCACCTACAGTTATTTCTATTCCCCATTAGTGCGCTTTTAGTGGATTTTGTATTGTTTGTTCCCCTTGCAAAAGTCACGGGCTTCTTGGAAACACAATAGCAATGTGACTTCTAAAGCATGGTTCGAAGTTCTATCGCATTTAAACAAATTGTTAATGAATGTACTGACATCAATGGCATTATGAGTGGCTTAATTTGATTATTTTTTATGCATGGTACCGCTATTTACATCCATAATGATATATATATCAGCTTTTAAAAATATAATTATATTATATTTTTTTATCTTATGTAAATTTACCTAAATAAACATATATAAATTAAACAAAAATATATCGTTCCAACTTCATCCACTAATATTTATTTTTATAAATTCTTTTAAACCTTTTTATATTCTTTTAAAGTTTGTGTTTGACTAAAATTCTAATAATAATAAAATACCACCTTCATCTAAAATCATAAAATCCTAATTACAAAATATCCTCTTCAGCGAAATTTTTTTTTAAAAAATCACATTATTAGAGTTATAATTCTTTCATGATATGGAAAATAGAATATTATTTTTATGTTTTTTTTAAGTATTGGTTTGACAGATGAAAATACACGAGAAATATCAAAATAAGTTTTAATATCTATTCAAATATTCTTACTTTACAAAAATAAAAAAATTTAAAATTATCAGCCAAAACACAAACAACTAAAATTAGGTCTGGGCATCGGGTAGTTCGGTCCAGGTATTTCAATACCCCAAACCACCCATTATGTTTCGGGTTTATCGCAAATAAAACCATTCGGGTCTTTGTAAATATTGGAACCGAACCCGAACCCGAACCCGAACCCGAACCGGTGGTCCCAATTCAGTTTCGGTTCTACCCATAACATTTTTATATATAGTTATTTAATAAATATTTCACATAGACCCCTTTGGTACATGTATCTAATAAGCCGCACCGCTACTCAAAAATATGTGCAATGGAGAAAATCCAGTTAAGGCCCCCGTTTGATCCACATTTTTAAATATTGATTTGATATTATTTCAACCAAACATTCTTCAATAAATTAATATTATCTGCAAATCTAAAAAAATTTCTTATTCTTTAACAACATATTTTTCGTCAATATACTATTTAAAAATGCATTCTTATGAAAATAATGTGGCTCAAACAAGGTTAAAAATTCAAAAAGCAAAATATTGGATACTAAAAGTCACGAAATAGGAGAAAATCAAAAATGAAATTATAATTTTAGAAAAAATTGCTTTTCTTGATAAAGCTTATTCGATATCTAAAAAATGCATAATAGATATATAATTTAATTATAAACAATGCTTGAATTCTCCTACTTGTAAAACGAATTGATATAAAAAATACTAATTGAATACATAGCTAATTTAGTATTAAAAAATTACGGTCCACATATTGAACTCTCTCTGTTTGAATAAAAAATAAATATTTGAAAAGAGAACCACGAACTCAAGATAATAAAAAGGTACAACACAGTGTAGGCAATAAATACATCAAATTCAATTGCCATGCGTTATGAAAAAATTTAAAAAAAAATAAAATCACTTAAGTTTATTAATAATACAAGAAAGTAAAAAGTTTGAATTGCAAAAGCATGAATGCTTTGATTCATCAACTTATATTACAATTTGTTTGAAATTTTTGATTTATAAAAAGCTCAAATTGTAAACATTAATATATAATAACCTCTGAAATGCAACAATCTGATGTAAGGTGAGATGTAAAAAAGTAAGAACCAATTTGTATTTTTTAGAGTTAGAGTTTGAAGTTTTAGACTAATTACTACCAAAATTAGGATTTTTAGGTTTTATACGTTTTTTTCCAACGAATAATTATAAAAATAGGTTCCATTCGAGTACCCACAGTTCTAGTTCAGGAACCAAGAACCGAACCGAACCCAATCGGTTCTCGGTTAATAGTTCCGGTTCCTAATTTATTTTTTTGAGAATCAAGTCAGAACCTTTGATTTCGGTTCGGGAGATTTGGTTCCGGTTAAAATGCCCAGGCGTAACCAAAATTATGAGTTTATAAGAAAAAAAATTATTACACATTATTTAAGTAGGGATTTGTTTGGTTGCTTGAGCAATATACTCTTGATAGAATCCTATAAATTCAAGAAATGATATTTGCAAACCTTTATAACTAAATATTAAAGCATCAACATGACAATATAGAACATGAGAAATAAGAACCAGATTTAATGTTAATAGTGATTTGATGAATACATTGTTTTTTTTTTTTAAATGAAATTGTATTAAGAATGTATTTATAGTGAGATGAATATATAAAATTTGTATGAATATGTAATGTTTAAATGAATGAATTTAATAAGAATAATATTGGAATTTGACGTGGATGAAAATAATAATTTTTTTAGAAATTTATTATTTTAATAAGAATGTAAATAGAGTGAGATATATATATAAAAATTGCGAAAGTAAATAACGGGCACCCTAATCCATTCTCAAATGAAACTCAAAATAATTGGATAATATTTTATTCAATTCAAACACAAAAATGGACTTCCTCGTTTCTCCTTTTTGGATATACTGAGTTGAACACAAATTAAAAACTTGAGGACTGAAGAAGCAGTTTTCCCCAAAACTAAATGAGCGTAAGCGCGTCGTGTTGTAATTGGTTGACTCCAATTCCCGACGATTCTAACTTTTCTCCAAAAAAAGGCATTGATAAATGAATTATTTTTATTCTCTTATAAATATAAATATAAGAGAAAATTATAGCTATCGTTCTCATGATTTTTACAATATTGTCCCCAGCCTTTTTAAGGCCAAGTGACGGAATATTTGGATTGAAATCATTGGGGATTGAGGTTAAGCCTGTGAAAAATCAAAAAGATAAAAGAGAATAATTGTAGTAGAAAGCCGTTCAAACTCTCCTAATTGGATCCCAACTCCTGAATCCATTCCGATTATCCTCCTCAAATCTCAATAGATTATATACACAATCACTGAGTGTATTAATATGGCATATGATGGTGATTATATATATAAAAAGCTGAAGCAAGTGTAGTTTAGTTTAGAGTGATCATCCAGAGATGGAAGGATCGACGAAAGAGAAGAGGCAGGTTGAATCGGACTGTATGAGAGAATGCATGAGGAAGCTGTCGCTTTGGTACACCAAAACCTTCGCTCCACTTCTCACCCACGACGATCTCAACCCCATCATGGCCACCCTTGGTTTCGTCCCTTCCCTCGTATCCGTTCCCGTCAACACCATTGAGATTGATCATCGTCAATTTGAATTACACTCCACACAACCCACCTTTACCGCTCCTTGGATTGAGTACTTGCATTGCTCCAGTGGCCTGATTTCCGATTTTCCGCCGCCTAGGCCACGTCTCCCCTATTCGAGGATTGATGGTCTCCACATTTACACCTACAGGGCCTTTCTTGATGCCCTCAACTTCTACCTCCGCATGCCCAATCTCTCTGATCTCTTTCACGTTCGGTATGCTTCACATTTTTACGATGTCGTTTAATTTGAAATTTTAACTAGCTCATTGATTAGTGTCATGTGTTGTCGTAATTCCGTCTGATTCTTCTTCTTCTTTGAATATTATTGCGTTCTATGTTTTAATCTAATGTAATGTCCACCTGTGTTACTATTTAATCTAGTTTAATTTCTATCTTTGTTATGTAGAATAATTGTCGTAAGTGAGTGTTTTTGTGGAAGCAGGAGCAATATAATCATTCCAACATAAAGGCTTTGGCTGGAAGAAAAAAAATTAATTGGATGCACAGAACTTAACACCCTTGGACTGTGTGGATTTCTACGTGGGCGACTTTCCAAGAAGCAAAACTATGGGACAATTATCCCCATTCCCCCTAGTGTTCATTCTTATGTACTCTGTTTCTCGAGTGGACAATATTCTCAGTTCATTAAATAATTTGGGTAATCATTGCATAAAAAACCTGTGATATTTGATATATAAAATTTAACGAATAACCGCCATTCATTTCATTTTATTTATTGTATATATACAGCACCAGATGATCCCACAATGCTGGTTTGGATGAGAGACTAAATGGCCCATGCAATTTTTCATTTTGTTGAATTGTTTGTAGAAATAGTGTCTTTTCATTATATCACTTGCCCCACAATGTGGATATGTTATTTTTAGCTGTATATCTTAGTTTTTCTAAGTCCTCTGCAAAGTCAAGTGGAATTTACATATCATATTCTGAAAGGTGAAATGTCAACTCTGCAAGCTCCATCTCTGATGTCTTAAATTCATTGTGAGATATAGGTGTTAAGAGAAACTTAGAAGTCTCAGAAGTTAGAAGGTACACTTGCATAAACACCCCTTCATACATGGTAGAAATTTTCCATTGAGATTAGTTAAGGCTGATAAATTTTTAATTAGTTGAGTAGCATCAAAATGATACTTCATGTTTTTGTACATGTTGCACTAAAATTGGATCGAGAGATTTTCCTTTTGCTTGCAAGTTATGGCACCAAAATTTGTTCTCTTTGGAATATCGAGTTATACATGGTCCCCGTGAGATGGAGCGTGTTGTGTTGTGTTGGAAAAGGAAAAGAAATGGTTGTGAGATTTTTATTCACTCTGGGAATAGGAATGGAAAAAACCAAATTGAAACTCTAAAATACGATTGGTTAAGTCCTAGGTTTTGTTCAAATTGTGTTTAGTGGCAGTGCATGTATGAGCATCTGAATTTTTATTTAGTTATCAGCTCGATGAAGTTATTGTCGTTCCTGGATTGTCTTTTCCTCCTTGATCAATCGTTTATTTCTTCTTTCCTCTTTAAACTTTGCTGGCTAATAATTTATCAGTAACTTTAATCGATTATCAGTGGATCTTCTAAAATTTATCATATTGGAAGTGATACTCATGTAGTACTGAGTGTTTGTAATTAAGAAATGGGAATCCTCTTCCTGCAAGCTTAACATAAAGAATTCGTTATGAAGATGACTTTCAACAATAAAATGAAGTTGTGCATAAATCTCATCTTGTTATTTTTGTTACGTTGTTCCAAATTTGACAGCTCTATTCCCGCTACTGTTTCTAAAGAATCTGTATATTGTGTGTTTATTTCCTGAGCTGAGGGGGAGTTGGTGATAGCAACTTGAAGTTATTGCAAGATATGAATTGACATAGCATTATGTGTTGAGGTTATTCTCATAATGATATTGAGTTCATTCCACTCGTTCTCTTATTTTTTTATGTTTCATCTAGAGACCAAATATCATCAATAATTGCCTAGAATCATGCCATTTGCTCTATACTTTCTTTTTATTAAACTTCAATGGTCTCTTTTAGTCGAACTTCATAACCACTACATAGCCAAGGTAGAAAATAGGCCTTGATAAATCAATATCCTTAATCAATTACTACCAGATTTTCAGATCTACTTTCTCTACTTTTAGTTGCAGACTTTTGATGCCTGTTTATGGAGTACTCAGTGAATTTGGACTTTTTATATCCGCTTCTATTTCAGGGGAATGCCGCTCCATCAAGTTCACGATCGAGGCAAGAAGTGGTGGTGTATGGGAGAGGACGACAGTATCTTTGTCTATGGAGAAGGGACATTGGATCAAGCTGCATATGATTCCTATTGTGTCGAAAAGATTGGCATAAACTACAGCAACAGTAACAAGGTTTGCAATTCTATCACAATCCGGAACAGAGGAAAATCTACCCCTAGCAGCTGCATGGTTCCACTGAAAGATATCATAGTGTTATCCTTATAACTGGAGTTGGCTCCATTCATTTTATGACATTAAATTTTCTCATTGTACGTGTTCCAAAGAAATGTACGTTGGCTTTGGACACATCAAAACTTGTGACTTCATTCGTTAAAGCATTTTCCATTGGCTTTTCCTTGATGTTGGTAATACTTTGAGAATAATACTTGTGAGACTTTGTTTTCCCAGGCTAGCATGAGTACCGGACTCCTACCAACTTTAGTAGCTACTTGAGAATTCGTTAAAGCATTTGCCATTGGTTTTTCTTTATTGATGGTCATGTTTTTCAAAATTCTTATCTTTAGACTCAGTTTTCCCAGTGTAGCGTGAGTAATTTGGCTCCTACCAATTTTTGAACAATTTTGGACAAAACGAGATTAGAAGAAGGATAGGAATTATTTTTAGCAGTTGCTTTATTAAATATTAATTTTCCTTTTTTACCAGAATATAACAAATTTATATTCTCATTCAAAACTACTTATGGGACTGCAATTGGCCACCATCCTCGTATACCATAAGTCTGTAACCAAACTTTAAAGCTCTGTGTAGTGCAGAGTTCATTTGCATTCAGTCAAATTTGGACCAAGAAGTATCATTCTTAAAATTCTCTTATGTAAAGTATTTGTTCTTGTAACTCTCATATGACATAGGAAAATGATGTCTAGAATTTGTTTGAAATTTCAATCCTTCGAAATTCTGATGAAATAGAAAAATGTGAATACAAAAGGATACAAAAGAATAACTAATAAACAAAGAAAGACTAATCCAATCTCTCACAATTTTGTTTTACCCTCTAACGAGAATTCATGAAGAACGTAAATGTGTAAAATAAGAACAATTGTCTCCCTGGCTTGGTTAGAAGGTTCACTGTTTTGATGACAATATATGCACCAGTCTGCTCCAGTCATCTACTACGACTTATTCGGGGATAGGAACCTCAAGACGAAGCCTTGGACACGTCCTTATTGGACCTGTTGTACTTCATATGGCTCTTGACGAGTTGGCCAGCAGCAATTGCTGACATGAGAGAAAGCTCTCCAGCAAGAACGGCCCCAGCTACAATGGTAGCTAACTGCCTTGAGTTTGATCCTGGAGCTTCCTTACTAGCTCCCTTCACTCCAAGAAGATTCAAGCAAGCTGACTGAGAGGCCAGTTGTGTCCCACCTCCGACTGTACCAACCTGAAAGAACCCAACAACAGCAAAATTAGCCACAGATCTCCGTTTTTTTTTTTTTTTTTTTTAAGTTGTTACTTGCACCCAAGGCAACCATCTTCTTGAAAAATGATTCGGTAATGAAATTTACCTCAATAGAAGGCATAGTTACAGAGATGTGAAGGTCCTTTCCATCGTTGACAGGTTCCATCATGGTGATGCAGTGAGAACTCTCAATATTTTGTGCAGGATCTTGGCCAGTGGCAATATATATAGCAGAGACAATATTGCTGGCATGGGCGTTGAAGCCACCCAGAGCTCCAGCCATAGCAGAACCAGTAAGGTTCTTGAGCATGTTGAGCTCCACCAACGACTCGACATCAGTCTTGAGGACCTTCTTCACCACATCTTCCTTGATGATAGCCTCACAAACAACTGATTTACCCCGACCTTCAATCCAATTCACAGCAGCCGGTTTCTTGTCTGAACAGTAGTTTCCTGAAATGCACAATATAATGAATTTAGCATGTCAACAAATTTTATAAGCTTGTTTAACTTGAGAATACTAGAAACTGTTGAAGAGAGAACAAAAGAGGAGGAAAGTGAATGTCTGATTACCAGAGATGCCAATAACATCCATGTCCGGAAATTCCTTGTGAAGGAAGTCCATCACATTCTGCACACCCTTAGAGACCATGTTCATGCCCATTGCATCCCCTGTACTGCAGGAGAACCTGATGTAGAGATTCTTGCCAGCAATCGCACACTTGATGGTCTGAAGCCTGGCAAATCGGCTGGAACTGTTGAAAACAAGCGACAAGGCCTCGAAATTGAGAGGGTCCTCGAGGAAAAACTTCAAATCAGCAGCGCGCTTGGCAGTGCCGAACCTGACAACGGGAGCCCTGGTCATCGCGTCCCTAAAGACCACACTAGATGCCCCGCCAGAGACATAGATGGCCTTGCATCCCCTGTTGGTGCTGGCAACCAGGCAGCCCTCCGTGGTAGCCATGGGAACCGAGAATTCTCTGCCATCGAGCAACAGAGGCCCAGCGATGCCCACCGGAATCTGAACGTAACCCACAGGCATCTCGCAGCACTGACCTAGTATGGCGTCGTAATCGAAGCCCTCCAAGGGAAGCCCTGCGAGGGACTTTCCACAGATCCTCTGTAAAGCCTCACGGCGAATAGCAGCGGCACGGAGAGTATCACCAAGCTTGGATTCGAGAGAATAAGAAGGGGTCTTGCCCTCCACCACAGACTTGATAATCTCCTCGTCCACCTCCGAGAGGGTGAGCGCCGGGGCCGGCAGTTGATCAGCAGCATCAATCCTGTCTAGTTTGGATTTAGGTTTGGGAGAAGCAACTTGGCAATCAGATGGGGTTGGAGCGGCAGCACAGGGAGCGGCACGGGAATCCTCCTTGTTCATCAACTGATCAATCTCCTCTAATTCATCCAAAATGTCATGGGTAGCACGGGGAATAATCAACGACTGCACAAAGCTGATGCCGAAGAAGCCTAGGAGATAAATGAAGGAGACAAGAAAGGCAACTAAAGCACTCATTTCAGAGAGGGTAAGGACGTGTAGAGGGGCAGAGTTTCGGATCTTTTCACGCCATCGGAGGAGTAGATAGTAGACGGCGGAGAAAAAGATGGTGAAAAAGACTCCGTTAGCGAGGTACAGAGGTAGAGGAAGGACATCTGAGGACGAATCATGGTTTTTGGTGGACGGTTTTTGTGATTCTTGAATCATCGATTGTTGTTTGACGTCCATTCTAATTGTAGATTATGATCCCTTCCCTTTAATTCAGGCCAATCGATGAGGAAGATGAAGATGAAAAAGCTGATGGTTGGAAATGGTAGCTATAGTCTGGATTTATAGGGCTTCTTGCTTATTCTCCATTTTGGACTCTACGAGGTTTCGCGGAATGTGTTCAGTTATGGACTTGACTTGCAATATTACATTCAAATTCGTCAGTCTTCTTCAGTGCAATAAAATAAGAACATCGTCAATGTCATGTAACAAAAATTAATATGCTTTTGCGAGTTAATTGTTACAATGGTCATTGAACTTAGGTACATATTTTTGATTGGTCACTGAAATTTAAAATATCAAGTTTTGACTACTGAATTTTGAAAAATATTATACATTATTCACTGAATTTTGAAAAATGCTGTACATTACTCACAGTAAACTCGATATTTTTCAAAGTTCAACAGTTAAACTAGTGAGTACTATCCAACATATTCCAAAGTTCAGTGGTCAAAACTCGATATTTTAAACTTCAATGAGTAATCGAAGATATGAACCTAAGTTCAGTGAGCAATCAAAAATATAGACCTAAGTTCAGTGACTAAAACTCGACATTTTAAATTTCAGTGACCAATCAAAAATATGGACCTAAGTTCGGTGACCATTGGAACAATTAACTATGCTTTTACTGGTATAATTTGCAGATAATGGTAAATGAAAATTCGCACTTGACTCGTCAAATTTTAATTTAGTTCACATGTTTGATTGGATTGATGATTTTTCAAACTTTAATTTAGCTCACATGTTTGTTTGGATTAATGATTTTTCAAATTTTAATTTGGTCCATGTTTGATGAAGATTAAAACTATTTTTTTTAAAATAAAATTTGATAAAAAAAATAATTAAAAAGATGTTTAAAAAGTTATAAATCTTATAATACGTTGTTGAACTTTGATTTGAATAAAAATTAAGATTTTAACCTCAATAGGTGCTTAATTTCAATTGAATTTTTAAATCTGATTTCATTTTAAATTTCACCACACATGCAATCTCTATAATTGATTAAAATTGTTAATTGACGGCTATATTGCTACAAATTTTTCACTAATCATCGCATGTCAACTTATCGCTAATTCACATGGCACATCTTTTAATTATGTAATCAGAAGACACTAATGTAATCGTTGTTTTCATGATGAAACTACTTATTATTCTTTCGTAAAAGACCAGTTATAGATGAGTACTAATTAATTTTTATCAATTTGGAAGACGATATATGTCATTATATATGATAATAGTGAATTTTAACACAAAACTGAAGTTCAACTACTCAAATGAGAAAAATTAAAGTTCATCTACTTAACTGGAATTTTGCTAAATTTCCATTGCCAGCAAATGAAGGTTATTCATAATTGGCGACTACAGTTGTCGCACTATATGACATCTTATTTGTGATTATTTCATTATTTATATGAAAATTAATTTGATTGTTTCCTTTAAAAAAAAATTACTAAAATCATTATACATGGGATGTTATATAGAATGACTACTATAGTTATTGACTATGAATAACATTATTAATAAAAATATATTTTGTTTCCTGAAAACATTGTTCACGGAATTCTATGTTATTTTTTCAAGCTAATTTGTTTTTTTTTTTTTTAATTGTAATCAAGATAAAGAGGTTTGTGCTCTTGTTTGGCAATGGTTTAGATTATAAACACGTTTGATAAAATCATTTTTTATTCATTCGTTTAATAAAATTTGCAAGTATTATTCACTTATCTATTATTTCTGTCCATTTATATTTTAAAATGATTACAAACAATTCACATATTAAAAACGAAAAGGGAAAGGGAAATGCCAAGATACAAGTCTAATACAACCAACAATGACTTACAATATTAAATAACAAGATAATATATTATCATTTACCATTCATTCAACTAAATATTATTTTTTAAAAAGACCATTTATGTGAACCATACTTTTCTTGCTTTATTTCATTTTTTGTTTACTTGGATCTTGTGTTATTTTCGCACTTATCTACAATAATCTATGATTTAATTATTATTTTAATTAATAATAAACACACTGACTTGCTCTCCAATATATTAAAAGCATCACAATCCTGGTGGGAACCTGCGGCCAGATTTATTTGGTATGGAGCAATCACTTTAGAGTAGGATCTCTTGTGCGCAGAAGTGTACAGGCAGTGAGGGGAACCTGTGATCCAGTTGAGGCATAACCCGCGATTTACCTCCAAGGTTCTAGGGGCAAGAGTCTTGGGAGTCCAGGATTTAGTCTAGTGTACGTTGGGATACCTAGATATCAAAAAAAAAAAAAAAAAAGAAGGCGTCACAATTCCATTGAAAAAAATAAATCAAGAACCTTACTATCGACTAATGACGATAAATATCATTATTATTTTCATGATTGAAGTTGCCAATGTAAATCCAATGCAACATGGTTAGACTAAAAAATTGAAAATGTCAGTAATATTTTTGGCACGTTACCACTAACCCATTTAGTCTCGTGTGGTTGGCGCCACTTTTCTTTTACCAAGACTAACCAAATATTGGAATATAACAATTATTGTCAATGTACAAGTTGAAGTTGTAATAATTGATTTTATGTAGAAAAAGTGCCATCTTCGAGCATAAAATTCTTGCCTCGTAGGTCCAATGCCACAAAATTTGACTCAAGACGATGGTGGGAGTTCCCATTGCAACTCGTCAATTGATTTCCACCAAAATAAATTGCTTTTTGGTAAATATTCTTATTCTCATGGATAATAATATGTTTTCTCCTGTATGAAGGCAATAAAGTCAATTTGGAATATTTGTCAAGCCTATTTTTCTCTGAGAAAAAAGGATAAAACAATTGAGTCGGATAAAAAGTTCACTAACCAACGATCGACCTACAAGATTCTTAGTAGAGCTTTCGGGCCCATATAAAGTAGTCTAGTTGAGTTTGGGTTCTCTTTGACGCTGTAGTATATATCCAAACTTGAACATCTCATGATGACATTGTCTCGAATATGAACATAGCTGAAAGTTACCTTAAGAACGAGTACCTTCCAAGGAAAAAAGTTCTTAAGGTACCCATCCTTTTATAACACAATTGTAGCCACGATACAGAGGCCGTCGATTATCTCCTTGGATCATCTTACTTGGACCCCCGCATTTCTCTCAGCTCTCTATGCGCAATTTATTGTTGTTGATGGAGTTCAATAGTATGTCTTCGAAGGATTTTATCAAACCAAACTTTAGACCGACTATAACGATGCTAAAGTGAATTGAAAATAAGTACAACATAAGCAAAAATAGACAATATTTACAAAAGTTCCTCTCCAATGCAACACTAGAGCGACTCTATCTAACTGACGCGGCAAGAAAAAATAAGCATTATAAATTTAAGTGTAGAGATTATTTTAGGAGCGAGTTAATAAAATTTATACTTTTCTACTTATCTTCTCTCTCATATTTCTTATTTACTTTATAATCTATAAAATAAAATTGAGTTTTAATCAATCTTTGAAGTTCTTGAAAATTAGGGACCTAACTTCTGATGGTGATAGCCTAAATGATATACCTATTTAGCATTTATTGATCAATCACTCTGAGACTCAAGGACCGAACTTATCGGTTATGCGAGACACCATCACCAGCGTGACGGAGATTTATGTTTGAAAGAGATTTTATTTTTCTCCAACGGAGATCACCATATGATGTGACCTTAAATGATAAAACCAATATGGTAAATATTATATCTATACATTCATATCACGACCAGCGATCATATAATAACGTCATGTTTGAAACCACACGAATCTTCGAAAGCAGCCGAGATCAAATAACTTATCTCGACAAGCGGAGAGTTTCATAGAATTGCTCAATAAAGGACAACTGCATTAAGTGGGAAAGAAATAACAAGCCTGCAGTGGTCCACTGGCTTATATTTAAGTTAAGAAATCACCAAATACCCATTTATTCTTTTCAAAACACTGGATAAACTATCACTGTGGAATTGGGCAAACTGCTTCCGCAAAAAAAAAAAAAAAAAAAAAAAAAAAAAAAAAAAAAAAAAAAAATAGTAAACTTTTATTATGAGAANAATTGATATCATCTCTTGTACCAGTTAAACAAGGAGAAAAACAAGAGAGAGGGAGAGCACCATCGACAGGGTAATTTCAAGACGTGGCCACAGTTGACTCCATAATAGGATTATCCTTGTTGAAGGATTGCCATTCAACTTCCCTGAGAATTTTAAACCTCTCATCTAATGTAACAAATCCAGTTTGGGGTGCTACAATGCCCGATCGTCCAGCTTTATAGAGCAGAAGCACCCCAGCTCCCATATCAGGTCCATGGAGCTTTCCTGTCAGCAACACTCGAAGAGGCATGAAGAGAGATTTCCCCTGGAATCGAAATAGAAACAATTTGAAACCAAAATCTAACAGTAGGCTAGGTAAGAGTCCTGTAATAAGAGAAGAAATCACAAACCCTTATACCATTCCCTTAAGGATGGTGATGGTAGAGCCCCAATTGATAGAAGAAAAATCCACAACCCCTTGGGGTTATCATGCACTTGGAAGCAGTAGTAAAAAAAGCATATTTTTTCATGCAGAGCTAACGATTTAACAATTATTTAGCCCTTGTTTGAGCCCCATTTTGTCATAATCTCATTTTTTTCAAAATTAATTTTCGACCATACGTTCGCCAAAAATAATTTTACATGTCAACTGAATTTTATTTACTTATTTTTAACCACATTCTCCGAAAAAAATACTATTCCAAAATACATTGCTTCACCCCTCCCCCACCCCAAAAAACAAAAAAAAAGGGGCTTAAAGAAGGGCTTAATAAGAATGGTTTAGTTTATGCTCCTACCTTAAATACAGGGAAAGAAGTGTCAATTATCTTCAGCACTAACCTTGCGTTTCAGGGTTTTACCAAAGCTCTTGACCCACTTCTGCCATCCAACGTGACCTTCTTCAAGCGCACAATTGAGCTCACCAGAGTCATAGGCAGCAAGCAAGTTAGCTGCAATATCTGAAAGCTGATCTTCTAGGACAGGTTTACCTTCCGGACTGTAATCAAACGTCAATAATATCAACCATAGTAATAAAAATCATGACATGTGAGT